AAGAATCCTCTGGACCTCAGGACGGTGCTATTACCCAAAAGCCCGATTCGATCGAAAGAATCTCAGATTCCAGGAATTCAAATCCATGAATGAGTATAACTCAGCACTATTTAAAATAGTATCAATACTGAGATTCCGTGATGAGGAAGTTACTGAGAATGACTTGCTAGAGAAAGCATTCTTGACCTTTCACACAAACAATATATTGCCTCAGCAACAATATCGTGAAAAAGGTTTTTACCACATATGCAAGTCTAAACTCTTGTTTTTGGGGAGGACTCCTCTGTAGAGAGTGCTAAGGAGTGAGGCTTTGGAGAAACCGTGATGAGAACATTGATTCTGATATGCTACTTGCTGAGCAAAACAATGAGTTATAAATAGTGAAATGAGACCTCCTGGTCCTACCCCATTATCAGAAGCCCGTTGGGCTGAAGAGCCTAAAGAGCCTAAAGAGCCTAAAGAGACTAAAGAGTCTAACCACGTCCAAAGAGATAAGTATCATGGCCACAGTCATGGTAAATGGAATGAACGTGGTAGAAGTGGAAAATATAATTTATATGATCAAGGAAACCATTCATATGGTTAAGGCCACTGACCCGACTTTGGTCGTAATCGAGGTAGGCCACGGTATACCCAAACCACAACACTCAAATAAACTTGTTTGCCACTGATGAGTAATGGGGAAACCATTGGACTAAGACGTGCAGGACACCTAAGCATCTCGTTGATCTCTATCAAGAGAGTTTGAAAAGAATCGAGAAGCTCATTTAGTTCATCACGATGGTGAAGAAGATTTCGACCATGAGATAGATGATTATGAGAATTCAATAAACGAAATATCTAAAGACATGGTTCATTAGCCAAATTGCGGGTATAGCTAAATTTAGTGAAGGCTAAGGGCAGGCCCATGGTAGGCCCATATTCCCAAGGGCACGCATCCTCAGATGCTTCATATTCACCTAGCTCAAGGGGGCTTGTTGAGTTTCAAAGAAATGTGTTTGAATGGTTTTCACATTGAAACTAAGGGTGAAGGGAACAAAGGATTCCCATATATTACTAAGAGCACCCAAGACCATGAGAAGGTCTTAGAGACTATACCCGCATCATAGATCTTTACTATGCCAAGGTCAATATGATAAAGGCTAATAAAGTAAACAAATAAGGGTTTACTGAGAAATTCACTAATGGCATGACCGGCTTGGCCAGCCCAGTTCGAATATGATGCGTAAATTAATTCAAAGTTCTAAAGGGCACACCCTTAAAGAAAACCGAGTTTTCTCTAAGCACCACACGTGCATAGCCTGTTCACAAGGGAAGCTTATCACTCGACCTTCACCAGTCAAAGTGTCTAAAGAGACCTTACATTTTCTAGAACGACTTCAAGGAGACATATGTGGTCCGATCCATCCACCTTGTGGAACATTTCGGTACTTCATGGTTTTAATCGATGTATCGACCCGCTGGTCGCATGTTTGCCTATTGTCTTCTAGGAACCAAGCGTTTGTTAGGTTATTGGCCCAAATGATCAGATTGCGAGCCCATTTTCCAGATTTTCCTCTTAAGACCATACGTTTAGATAATGCTGGTGAATTCACTTCCCAAGCATTTAATGACTATTGTATGGCCATGGGGTAAGTGTGGAACATCCTGTGGCACATGTCCATACACAGAACGGATTAGCTGAATCCCTCATTAAACAAATTCAACTAATTGCTCGACCATTACTCATGAGGTCGCAGCTTCCGGTCTCAGCTTGGGGACATGCAGTTTTACACGCTGCTAAACTAATACGCATTCGGCCATCTAATGAGCATAGATATTCCCCATCCTAATTGCTAACGGGTCATGAGCCAGACGTTTCCCATCTAAAGACATTTGGGTGTGTCACCTATTTACCCATAGCACCACCACAGAGAGCAAATGATGGGACCTCAAAAGGAGATGGGAATATACGTTAAAAATGATTCTCCCACCATCATTAAGTATCTCGAGCCAAAGGCCAGATACAAGGATTGTCATCTCAATGAATCTGTTTTCCCAACACTGGGTGGAGAGACTAACAAGCTGGTCAAAGAACTTACATAGAATCAAACATCCTTCACATGGCAAGATCCTCGGACTCCATCAGAGATCCAAAAGACTATATATCTACAAAAGCTAGCTAAAACAGTTGCCAAGATTCCTATAATGACCCAAAGAGAGTAACAAAATCGTACATACCAGCTTGTAATGCACCAGTACGTATTGATGTTCACAAGGAACACAATCAAGTTGCTACAGAGGCTACAACACGTAAGAAACGTGGTAGACCCAAAAGGTTCCAAAGACAAGAACCCTCGGAAATCAAAGAAAGGTGCAAGGGAAACCGAGAAGGTTCAAGAAACCATAGACATGGCCGGCTAATAGACATAACCCTAAGGTACCAATCAATGAGGTTTGGGACGCCAAACCTCAAGGTCCTGAAGGTGTAAAGAGATCTCTATAAACTATATCATGTCTAGAATACAATGGAACCGAAAAAATATCGACATAAATGATAATATATTTGCGCACAAGGTAGCAACTGAAATGAATGAGGATCAGGAGCCCACGTCTATACTAGAGTGCACTCAAAGACCTGATTGATTAAAATGGTACAAGACCATAAAACGTGGAGCTAAGAATCATTAACAAGAAGAATGTGTTTGGTCCAATACAAAGGACACCATTCAATGTAAAGCCAGTGGGACAAATGAGTCTTTGTGATAGTGTGAAATAAACATAGTGAAAGCGTGATATATCAGACACGGCTTGTCGCACAAGGATTCACACAAAGACCAGAAATAGAGGAGATATACTCCCCTGTGGTGGATGCTAAGACATTTAAATTTTTGCTAAGTCTGGCTATATAAAAGAAAAAGATTTGCGGCTAATGGATGTAATGCCTGCATATTTATATAAGTCCACTGGATAATATATGAGATTACCAGAGGGTATTGAGCTCAAAGATAAGAAAGATTTTCGAGAACAGCACTGCATAAGGCTGGGCAAATCCTTATATGGACTGAAACAAAGCGGACGTATGTGGTATAACCGGTTAAGCGAATATCTCATCAGAGAAGGCTATAAAAACGATCCGATCAGTCCATGTATTTTTATCAAGAAGTTTGCAAACAAAGGATTTGTAATCATAGCAGTGTATATGAATGATTTAAACCTCTGGATAATCGCCCAAACAGTTGAGTATATCTAAAGAAAGAATCTCAAATGAAAGACCTAGGCAATAATTAAGTTCTGTTTGGGATAACAACCTGAGTACGTGAATAATGGAATCCTTGTGCATCAAATGACATACACTGAAAGAGTACTCAAGGAAATTTAATAAGGACCAGGCCCGCCCATTGATCAGGCCCAATGGTGGTGAGAAGCCTCAAATTGGATAGTGATCCATTCAGTCCGGAAATGCCATACCTCAGTGCCATAGGAGTTCTAATGAATTTGGCTAGACACACTAGACCAAACATTTGTTTTGCCGTGAGTCTCCTGTCTAAATTTAGTTCATGATCAACCCAAAGGCACTGGAAAGGTTTAAAGGAAGGTTTGGTTAAATTTTAAAGTTTATTCTTCCTGCGTTGTTTACTTGGGTTTATTCTATACTGATCTAACCAAAGAAGGTCTAGTTTGCTTTGGTTTAGTTTGATTTGCTGATGCAGGTTATTCATAAGATCAGATTATGGCATGGTCAATGAATAGGAACTACGTGTGGCTTGATCCCTTCCAAGGGTACGTAGGCAGCCTTCCTTAAGGCGCAACTACTACTACTACTACTACTACTACTACTACATCAAAGACCATCATATTTGAAGACAACGCAGCCTGTATTGCTCAACTCAAGGACGGCTACACTAAGAGAGACCGGACGAAGCACATTTTGCCAAAGCTCTTATTCACTCATGAATTACAGAAGGACGGTCAAGTTAAAGTTCAACAGATCCGGTCAAGTGAGAATTCAGCCGACCTATTCACCAAATCATTGCTGACTTCAACGTTCCGGAAGCTCATTCATCAGATCGGGATGCGCGGACTTAAGGATTTACAGTGATGCTCAAATCAGGGGGAGTAATGCGTGTTGTACTCTTTTTCCTTCACCATGGTTTTGTCCCACTGGGTTTTCCTGGTAAGGTTTTAATGAGGCAACATTCTCCAGCGCATTATAGAGATCCCGGTTTAGTATCGGGCACGGTTATGTCTTCCAAGGGGGAGTGTTATAAACCATATAGATGGACTCCATAACCGGTCCATGACCCATTAAGGTTTTACCTTATTCTCTGTATCCTGCTATTATCCTTGTATATATATCCCCTATCCTATTAATGAAAAACACAGTTCACAACAAAATCTAATTTACGTCAACACTAATTATTAATTACTTGTTTGAATCGCATAATGCTTACTATTCCTTTCCGCGTAAATTTGAAAGTGTCGTATTCAAGCCATCGAAATAGAGTCAGTTTTGTTGACAAAAAAAAATGATTAATTGGAGTCAGTTGTCTCAAAACAATTGGACGAAGTCGTTTTCATCTGCGTAAAGATTCCTTGCATTCCATGAAAACTAGAAGTATCAAACTTTTAATTTTCATTTCCTTATTTTGGTTTCAGCTAATTATTACCGGTCGATATTTTGTTGCATTAATGATTGAATATTGGTAGCATCTTCTAATTCGAAAGAAGTGTTGCAACTACAATGCCCTTGGTTGTAGTTTTGGATATCCGAGAAACAAAATAACAAAGCAACCCATTAACAACCCTAACAAAGTTTTTTTAAAAAAAAATCCAAGAAAATCATATACGACACTATTTCAAAATTAAAACTAATGGAAGCTTCTATATATTGTGGTTGTATTATTATGACCATAAAGTTTAGGATTTTCTAATCCATTAGTTTGATTTGGAAATTGGAAATCTACATGTTTGGTTTACAACACACTTGTTTGATTTTGAAATTAATGAAACTTTCCAGGTTTACCAAATCATTTTTTAATTAGACAGACCAGCAAACCACATTAATTCTTATTATTACACACGTGATCATTCTGATACAGACGAGACCGATCAACTCCCAAACATAACTGAAAATCGAAAACACACACACATGCTAATTATTGATAACCCTGCAGTTCTTCCTAACCTCCCCACTAGCTCCATTTGCAATGTTTCCCATTCTGATCATCGAACATGTGAAGTCCCTGAAAAACAAGTTCTGGCTCCGACTATAAGCCTCCACTAGTCTCTTTGTTGTGTTCACAGCTAAATCACTCGAGAACAGAATCTGATCAGAGCTCAAAAGACCTTTCCCTTCGAGTAGGTTCTTGAAATAATTGTTGTCAAAGGCGTCCGTAGAGTTCCTGTCAAGGGGCGCTGTTGTGTTACTATTTCCTCCAAGGGGACAAACTGTTTGCAGATTAGACAACAGTGATGTCTCAAGTGTTGCGTCAGGAGTTCCCGCACCGGTAAAGTTGAACAGACGGTTGCTGAAGACAGCACACTTCGCTTGTCCAAAGGTGTGAGCTCCTTTGTAATGAAAAAGGTCATACATAAGTGATAAGTAGTTAGAAGAAAAGAATACCAACTAAGGTTTGAAGAAACTAGTTAAACCTGATAAAGCTACGACGTCGGTGATGTTAAGGTTTACGGCTACAAATTTGGCGATAATAGCGTCTAAAGGTTCAAAAGGAGATGGGAGATTGTTTGCACTGTTCTGATTTGCCACCAATCCATCTTTTCTTCCTAATGCCACTCTCCACTGAGGCCCTCCGCTCTACAAATTGAAACCGTTATAGGCGATATAAAAACGAATAGATATAATCCAGGTTTATAAACCCGAGAGTCTGCATGTGTAAGTCATAGACGACCGAAGAAATATAATTACGTACAAATATACAATCACAAATATTTTTATAATAGAGTTTATAATCATTGAAAAATATTTCAACCACATTATGACAATATATATATATATATATATATATATATATATATATATATCAACCAAATAAAAGATAATCATTTGTAAAAACGTAATCATTTTGTTTGTTACTATATATAACTAATCAACACCTAAGTCATATTAGAAATAGTTTTTATATGAAATTAGTAAAATCTAATCGAGAATTTGCCTGAAAATATATATGTATTAAGGTTTTGATGGTTGTTAAATGGGGACAGAAAGGCTTACCAAGAAAACCGAGTCACGAGCGGCCAAAGTGAGGATATCAGCACAAGAAACAACCCCAGGACATGCGTTTTCCACAGCGTCTTTGATTGTATCAATTACTTCAAACCCTCTCGCAGAATTAATGTTTGGGATCGCGAGTTTCTCGCTGTCAGCTCCATCCAACAATACAGACGCATCACACCCCTGAAAAGTTCAAGTTACGTTTTAGGTTACTGATGAGAAGTGTTTGGAACAAATTAATATGTAACAATATCCTATAACCTATAAAATTATTTAATAGAAAATATATATTTAGAAGAAAGTACGTAGAGATAACAATACATACATTAACAAAGCAGTCGTGGAAATGAAGACGAATGAGGGAAGCAGCCATCCGTATCTCGGCCTTCAGGGCAATTATAACTTGTCTACGGACAATTTGCACAAGATTGGGGCACGATTTAGCATAAATGTCAAAGCTTAGCTGTGCCCTAACCCCTGAACAAAGCATACACAAAGTGAATACAGTAAGCAAGACATGTCCTCCCATCACTTTGGTTGGTGTTTTCATAGTCTAGATGGCTTGTTTAAAAGACTTACTAGAGTGATAGTTTATTATGACATAGAAGAATTGGAATCCTATTTATAGAGAAAACTAGATAGTAACGATCGATATCAAGGGTTTCATTGTGCTTCTGCCAGTGGGCTATTAAGAGAATGATTAGTGCATAGTGACGTGTGGCGGCTTTGAAAGATTGATTTCTTATGCTCAAGAGGATGCATTAAACTTCATATTATTATAATTCTTGCAAGATTAGCCACTAAGAGCCATTTACGTTCATAGATTCATGAATTTCTATCTTGTTATTTAGTAAGTTGGCCGGTTTGATCTAATTACGTTTAATCCACTAAAATAAGTGACTGTGTTTACTAGCTAGCATCATGTAGTCAACTTTGTTTCAATAGTGTTGTATTTTAAAGTATTTTGAGGACGCAAGTGGATTTGGTGTAAAACAACTCTTCCCACTCGTATGGTATTTAGAGCATGCAATTGAGTTTTTTTAATATGAAAATTTGGACTATTTTTCTATATGTGCGTGCTTGTCATATTTGCGCAGGTACAAATTGTTAACAAGTTATTTATGTCATTCTTTCCACGCTTCTCTGAGTCCACGGCTTATCCAAAACAAGTAAACAACGTATATGAAAACATTCTGGCCATATGAAAAATTTCAACAGTTTTTTTTTTAAAAATATTTTCAAAAGTTATGCATGTTTAATTTTTAGCTAATTTGATAAATGACTCACTCAAATCTCAATTCATATACTCCCTCCGTTTTATAATATAAGATGTTTTGGATAAAGTTTTTTTTTCACAATATAGGTCGTTTTCGAGTTTCAATACAAATTATATATTACTTTGATATTTTATGATTATTTATATTATGCAGTCTCTTTTATAATTGGTTAAACTTTTTAAAAATAGATCTTTTTAACCGACATGTTTTTACCTAAAACGACTTATATTATGAAACGGAGGGAGTATATATTAAAGAAATTGAAATTATAACATCATATATAGATTGAAATTATTATTTTCTTTTAGAACATACCAAAATAACTTAGCACCTCGGAACTACATATCTCTGAAAACTAACTACTTTGATGGTAGATTTCCACGTAACAGTCATTTTTGTATGATCAGTGTTAGTGGTACTTCCTCCTCGAACTTTGCAACTTGCGGCGATTTTTTTTATAATTCTTTTAGTTCGCAAAGTGCATAGTCCAAATCCTTCCACTTAGCATTATCGGCATGCTAAATAAAAATATAGCGCAAAGCCTTGCCACATGTAATTTACATCTATTCTTAATTTTTAATTCTTATGTCAATATTGTATACTTATGGAAACTCCACATTCGATCCTTACTATATTATTTTGTATCACCAATTAAAGCGTAAGAGCAAATTTTAAAGGTTCAGAAAACCAAACTAAAAATACAGAGTTTACATAAAATTACGTGAAGTCAAAGAAAGAGAGAAAAAAGAAGAATATCGTACGATAATCTTTTAGAATTTGTTGAATTTGGTAAAAGAAAGTTGGTTTATTATATATGCATACTTATACATCAAATCTTCGGTTCTTGAGTTTCATATATAAAATAGATCTTTTTCAATATTGTTGTGTTTTTCCGATACAAAAACTCGATCACACTTTTCTTGATTTCCTCTGTCCTTACAACTATTGCAATCGATCCACATAGAACTAACTGAAAGTAGAGAAGATTCGAATATGATAAAGAAAAGTAAATTGGATAAAGAAGAGAGAAAAAAAAATTGGATAGAGAGACTTCAAATCAAAGAAAAAGTAAAACTGATAGGGATCTTTTATTAATGAGCCTTTGAAACATGCGTTTGTGAGGCAGAGTGCCATCGGATGATCATCACCTTTGCACGTGACATTGAAAAGCAATCTAAACATACTGATTTCGATAAGACAAATCCCGTTATATCTTCACAAGTATCGTACGGACCGCTACACAAAATGAAACAATGGTTAAAAAGTATAATTACGATGCAATTTTATTACAACTTACACCATTGTAAATGTTCTAAACCTGAAATTGGTTTTAAACAAAAGTAATTAAACTTGAGCATCATTAATTAATTTGATATTTATATTTTAATAAAATAGCATATTAAGCTTAATAAACAGATAAAACTGAAATTAAAAAAAATATTTTGAACGCTATTTATTTATTTAGAAGCAATGTCGCATCATTCTTAATTACGTAAACTACTTACCAAAAAAAAATTAATTACGTAAACTTAATGAATTCTATTGCAAACCATATAATTAACTCTATAGATTTAATGATAAATATCAAATTGTCGATGGTGTAAAAGTTGATAGCTGTTTTTATTAGTAATCGTGGACATTCAATATACCAACCAACAAACCCATATGGGCCCAAAACTTGTTTGGCGTAATTGTTTCTCAGACGCAAACCCAATTAGATCAAACATGTATCCAAGAATCTGGATCCGTGCATTCGACTGAGAGATTCTCTTCAAGCTCTAACTCTCTGCAACTGTCTCAAACCTAGACACAGATATTATGCTTATACTAGTAAAGTGAAGTATCCAAATGCATTAAGAGAACAAACATAAAACTCTATCATCCATAAGTCTTTCACTACAATGAACCTTGCTTTAACTACAATCTCATTAAACCCAGGAATCTTATCATCAACAAGATGTACCAGAAAAGAAAAATAAAAAAACAAGCTTACCATGACTTCATATGAACTTCTCCGTGAAAGTGAGCCCCCTAAACTCTGGTACCAAAAGCGGTGAGAGAACTAGACTACACCTACTAAGACAAGTACATCTTGACATATACATCATAGAGCTGGTGCAGAGATCCATCATTGACGCCTGTGCATATAAGAGACTTACACTATTTCAAAGTGAAAATGGTATGCATCAACTTCGCATCACCAGTTAGTTACCACTGCCTATCATCATGGGTTCTCGTCTGCTTCCCTCCTCGGTCCAGGTATCATATGGCTGCTCATTGTTTTCCAACAGAATCATTCTCAATTCCCATTTCACTTTCCTTACTTTGATCCATACCTTGGTTGGCTTCCTCACATTGTTCCCCCGACACTTCCCGAAAATCTGTCTCAGCTTTTTCCTTACCTTCAAGTTTACTTTCCCCAGAACTTCCCACACCAACTGATTGTTTGTTCTCTTTCACTTCATCCACGCTCTTGCTGTTGTTGTTGATTTCTTTCACCGCAGCCTCATTATCCCTCGCTGCAACATCCTGCATACAAATGTCCTCTGCAGCTACATGGTTCTCCTTTGTTTCACCACTAGTACGTGCATCGGATCCCCCTGTATCATCACCATCACTTTCAGACTCATTCTCCACAACCTCCTCGTTAGCATCTTCAGCAACCATACCCCGCCTCTCGAGATACTGTAATCTTCTCCTCATGTCACCTAACTCCCTTTCCATCAGGAACAACCTTTCCTTCAAGGTTAAGTTCTCTTCCTCCAGTTGAGCAATATGGCTATCCTGATCATCCACTCGGTTTTCCAAAACATTGTTATACTCCGAACCACCATAATTCGGATAAATCATCTCAAACCGGCTCAAGTCATGGTCCAATCTCCTCTCAACCTCAACATGCTCCTCCACATCACTCTCACTCGACCCTCCTTCATCTTCATCATCCTCATCATAAGGTTCCAACTCATTTCCATCAGCTCTCAGCCTAATCAACCCTTTCATGGAGCCATAACCATCAACCCCCCATTCCTCTTTCGCCATATCACCCAACACCTCCCTGGATGGCGAGAACATTGGCGTAGGCAATACCGCTGGTGTCACAGGGCATGGAGACACCAACTCAGCAATTCCACCAGATTTCTTCGCCCTGATGATAAACGAAGTCGTGTTCCTCGGCGCATAAGGAACATATCGATTACCATACTTCTTCTTCGGGTAAAACTTCCTGGTTTTCAACCTGTTCTGAGACTGCAGCTCGTTCAAAGTCGGCGGCTTGTAACCAACCTGATTACTACTACCAGAACCAGGTAGTTGCTGAGGGTTATACATAGGAATCCCAGAGTTATGCATCCTCCTAATTGGCTGCTGCTCCATCATTGGCCTCTTATCACTTGTAATCTTCTTCCCTTTCCAATTGTTCCGACTCATTTTCGAAACAAAGTTATTAGGAGGAAGATTCTGCTGATACTCGGAACTCAAACTCGGGTTAAGGTTAAAGTTGCGTGGATTCATCATCATAGGCTGGTTGTTCATCATAACCTGTGGCTGCTGATTCATTCCCATAATCGGATGAGATTGGCCTAACATAGGAGTCTGGTTCATAATCCGTGGCTGAACCGGATTCATTACCTGAGAAGACGGCAGCGGCGGATTCATCCTCTGTTGCGGCGGAGGCTGACCAATCATTTGCGGTGGAGGTGGCGGATTCATCAGCTTAGATTGATCGTTCATCTAACAATACACACTAGTTTTCGAAACCAAAACCCTAATTTCGCAAATCTCAAATCAAAAAGTCGAAGCAAGTCAAGAGATAGATCAATGAAAAAGAGATCAATCCGAGTGCTGAGGAGTGAAATTTCACAAAAAAAAACAAACAACAGATCAAAGAAACAAACAGATCAAACAAAAAGCCAACAAGAGAAGAAACTCTAGGATTGAGATTTTTCGTATTTTGAATTTGATTGTTCAGTTTTAAGATGAATTTTTGGAGTTTGAGAATCTTGTAATTTGGATCTGGAAACTCTTTTTTTTTTTTTTGGGCAGAAGAAAAATAATTTTAGGCAAAGAGAACCTCTGTCTACGAACGGCTTACGAGATGATGAGATTCTTTATATAGAGGCGACGAAAAGATGCCAAGTCCAAATCAACGACGGAGATGCGACACGTTTATCCGACGGCTAAGATATTTTATTTCTTTTTTAAAGGGTAGAGTCGGTTATTATTATTAGTTAGAAATATTTTAAATCAATAACCTAATCACTTGATAATTTGGCAAAATTAATTTAAATTTAAAGCTTAGTTTTTTAATTTTTATATATCAAATTTCATCTTCAACGTTTTAATTATGGTTTTACTGATGGTATATTATAGATTATTTTAGAGAAAAGTGGACTATTTCCAAAATCTGGGTTTTGAGTGCAATCACACATTATCCCCAAAATTTGGAGAATCATTCAATGGAGAATCTCAACATTTTAAGATATCAAAGTCATTTCTAATCCATAAGTGCGCATGTTCTTCTCTTACTCATATCCTTGAGTTATGCTGTTTTCTTCTTATTTTCCACTTTCTTCTTCATTCTCATTCTCCTCTTTATCCTTTAGTTGTGCTATTATTGTAAGTACGGATTCGATCATATGTGTATACTGCAAGGTTACGAGCTACGTATCCTGGTTCGGATAGTTAACGAGTGCGATGAAGATAGTCAAATAAAACATACTTGACTTCTGATGAAAAGAAATTACTTGACTTGGTACTTCTCCACTTTGACGAGGAGAGATGGTCATTCTTTTCTAAATAAGTGTCATGGGCCAGATCTTGAACCGTGAGTTACGTTAGACGAGTTTCATCACATATCAAGTTTCGTATACCATGATCCATAGCACACTCAATCATGAATGGGTCTTCTAACTGTTGTCAAAGATACGTTGAAGTACAAATTCCACCCACAAGTGCAACATGTAAACCCCACTCCTAATTAATGTGTTACCGGCAGAAGCAATCTCTGCCAAGGACAAATGTTTGACAGTTCCATAATTTTTTCTATTGCTTCTAAGCGTCTCAGAATTTTTTTTTGTTGCAATCGTAATGAAAGTTTCTAGTGAGAAAAAAAAAAATATGCTTTTAGTGAGAATCTCATTATCCTCCTTTAGTTACACGGCCAATTCACATCAAATAAAGCGGCCGCAAAATTCTTCTACCTTGTGGTTTAACTGATCTCTTTAGCAAAGATGAGACTTTCGGCAAAACACAAATGCATCAACTTAATCATTTCAACTTCTAGTGACTCTAAAATTGTCCACTCTGCAATTTATTGTGCATGAGTTGGAACAATCCTACAATACCGAACCAATATGGTGATCAACGGCTAAACGTCAGCAGAAGTAAGACCATGAGATCCCCAGTGTCAGAGCAGAAAGAATCATTTGGATTGTAACAGACTGAACCACTCTCAAAACCACCATTCACTTAAAGATGACATGCTCAATAACATTCAATTTCTACTCCCAAAGAAATAAAGAGAAAGACAATATCATAGAAAAAGATTGAAAACCTTATATGACAACTTCCCGCTACGGATGACACGGAATGCATATACCGAGTTTCCAACATTTCTGTAACCTATTTCAAGTAGGCTTCCCTCTCTATGAGACGCAAGAAAGCATATCTGGAGCCATGTGTGTGCTTCAGGGCAAGAAATGCTTATGTACCCTTCCTGACATTATATGACTCACATATTAGAATGTTACTTCTTCTCTTAACACATTTGCAGTCAATTTAAGAAAAACACAAAATGATCATCTTTATCAGGAAGAGGAAAGGAGCACATACTTTCTTTTCCTACGATCAATTCCAGCAGCACCCATATTCCTCGTGTCATTCTTAGAAAGCATATTATTGTACTGCATTGGAGAAAGGGCTGGAGAGAGAGCAGCAGCTGCAGATGGAGCAGGCGGCAAAGAAGTTGAAGGTGCAACTGGTGGTTGTGGGGCTATAGGCTCTGGAAGAGGCCGAGGTAGAATGTGCTTCAGCCTGTTGTTTCTGTAGTTCTTCCAATAGTAAAACTGTTGTCTATGTGCCAATTCCTGAAAAAAACTCGGATTCAACAGAAGACAGGGTTCAAAACTTAAGAAAACTTCGACAACAATAGATTACCTATCAAAAATTCTGACAAGGACATAACGTTTAGAATATTAAACAACTTTACCTATATCATGACTCGACGAACATAACACAGAATCACATAACCAAACAAGCAGAACGCAAGTAAGGGTTGCATTAGAGAGACCCTAAACTCAAGTCCACAAAACCCATTTTTCCAAAAACACCAGTACCCTAAGCATTTTGAAGCACTCCCTATCTACAATGCTAACTAACATGTAGTTGATGAATCTTATCGTATTGTTTTACCTTGTTTGCAGGATGGGCCATAGCAGTCCTGAAGTTGGGGTTTTGAAGAAGTTCAAGGAAATATAAGCAGTGTGGGTACCTGTAACAAGAACATAAGGAACACGAATAAAAAAAGCAGAGCAAGACTACCACAATTCCATTAGATATACCAACTTACATGATGAACTTGATATACTCTGGTCGCTGCCAGTATTGAAGATAGTTCAAGTATCCAATAAATGCTTCATCTTCAAAATACCGATTCTGTGCCAGGTCTGCCAAGAATTCTTTTGAATCTCAATTTCGAACACTTAAACCCTAAGCCGAAGAACGAATTCTAAACTTACAGTGGATGTAAGTAGGATTGGCGAGACATTGAATGAATTCAAGTTCGAGTAAGAATCGTTGTCTTCCACCGTCGGGATCCTTGTAAGTGTTCTTTGCCCTGTAGAGATGCGAATTAGATACTAAAAGAGCAGATTTGAAGAATATGAAATTGCAGAAGAGGAACCCACGGGGATGGAATTTCTGATGTATCATCAATCTCCTCTGGTGAAGCCATGAACGAATTTGGATTCTCACACTAGAGGAATCAGAAAACCTTCGCACACCTTCTTCAGGGGAGAAAAGACGGAGATGCAGGATCTTGGTTCTGATTTCTGAATTGAATTTTGGTTGTTAACCAAAAGGCTTTAACCGGTTCTGAACCAAAAATTGAAATACAAAATTACGGTTTAAAAAAGTTGTATTCGGCAGCAGATGGAGAAGTCTCTGCCTAAAACTTGAAGGATTTTCTTTACATTTTACTTGGTGGCATTTTTATTCACGTTATGGATCTCTTTCATTCTTATATCTCAACACCATGAATCACACAAAGTCCAATTTGAACTTTGAAACATGGAATCTTTACGCAATCATTTCTTGACTCAAAAGTGGTTTGATCTCAAGTTTGTCGATCAGAGATATAATTTCCGGACTACAATCATTATTCATTATGGATGTTGAACTCTTTGCCATGCTTACTATGGACAACTATGGTTGAAGACTAGCAAAAATAGACATCTCCTCAGGTTCTTAACCTTTAGTCGAGCTATGAGAATTCAGAAATCTAAGGACATTTGGCTCCAACGAGTTTGCCCTCGAAAATCTATACTGTACGTTGTAGTAATGTTGTAATCCCCCTAAAATGCAACAGTGTTTGTGTAAAAAGTTAGGTTTCCCACAGTTAACAAACAAAATTAACATACCAGAGCCTTCAGACCCTGGGACTGACCTATGCAACTTCCAAGACAGTCAGTTTTTGTATCCAGTGTGCGTGCTGTGGTCGAGTCTTCCTTGCCAATCAACACCTTGCCACAACTTGCAAGACAAGTTCTGTTTCAGAAGTTACTGGCCTTCAAATATTCAGGAGGTGATGGCTTTAACAGTTTTCACCATAGCTTGTGAATCCCAATTGCTAAATCTGATGAGATGGAGACGAGCAGTGGATAAGAAGAGTGCCATTCCGCTTTAAACACTCTTTTCTTATGAGCTTTCATCGAGAGAGATGGACTCGGTGCATTGTAGCGGATATCAAAGATGTGGATCACAGGGTCTGCAGAACCAGATGAGATGTGTAAACCATCTGGAGACCAAGACTGATTAATTAGAGCCGACTGTGATTCACTGCTTTCTTGCTTCCACCCAAAAGAAAATAGCTCCGTCTGAGGCAATCTAACATCATACAACCGTAGTTGCCGGTCTAACTGCCTGCAAACATAACACAAGCAAAGGAAAGAATTTTAAGGCAATTGCTTTCTTGGGGGTTATATATATCAAGAGTATGTTTTACCTTGTGTGAACCATGACAAGATTAACATCTCGTGGGTTTGGCAGTATATTTGTGCATCTGTTGTCTAGTCTATGTTTAAATGTGACTTTTTCTTCTCGGGCATCAAACCCAACAAATCTCCTATCGTCTCCACATGACAAGACGAGATTTTTATGGCGCATTCCAGTAACTCCCATCACAGCCGATGAGTGCAAGTCCCTATGCAGAAGTGTTGGCTTCCACGCATTATTCTCACATTGATCCCGCCATAACACTACTGCATGGTCACTCCCACCTGTGATGAAACAAGGATCATCCCAAGGCGTAAACATGATTCTGTTGATTAGACCTTTGCTATGAGGCCTGCCCTCCAGAAATTGTGACTTACAACTCTGCAGATGAACATAAATCCAAAAAAATATGAGCACATAACTAAATTCCCCAAAGAAGAAATAATATAAGCATCAAGTTAGATCTTACAACAAATAGTATATGCATCAGGTCAAGGGCTGAATCGAATTCCCAATTATTCCAGCTAAATTGTTTTTTTCTTTTTTCTAACAGGTTATGAAGACCAAGTTAACTTTCTACAAGTTTAAGCACACATTCCACTCATGAATGTCCAATCGCAAACTTAAATATTGTAAAACGGTAGAGTGCGCAGCAGCTTCATATAGTTTTTACCTCTCCAGCTTCATTCAGATATATGGCTGATATCTGAGGGTGACCTTCATCTGCAGTATACGCAGAAAAAAGTGCACTCTTGTGTGGATGCCAAGCTATATCCTCTGCCCATTTCTTCTGATTTATTGCTACCCGATTAACCGTCTTAAATAGAGTAGCTGTGGACCTGCTCAATGGTGAAAGCAATGATGGATAGGTTAGTATCCAGAGAAATTCAGATTGAAATATTCACGAAAATGACAGTACAAAAGATTGGGGGTTCCTGAGACACAAAATTTCCTAGTAGTAAACATTGTACAAACCCTATCTCTTAAAATCTTGTACAACTAAATATTGCAGCTTGTTGACAATATAAGCAAAACTAAATTTCAACGAATTATCACATATAAGTGATACATTTCAAAGATTATGTCAATTGGAATTGGAAATACATATAAAATTTTTGATACATTTGAAAATCAAGGAAATCTATATGGATTTTTGAAGTTGTACAATCCAATAACCCCCCCAAGAAATCAGCAAGATATATCATAATCAGTAGATCAGGTATATTTACGGCAGACTTACCTATCAGACTGAAGCTTCCAGAAATGAACTGCCCCATCCAATGCACTGAAGAATAGCAAAAATCAAGAAAGGGAAAAGAAAAAGATTAAGCACAGGAGTCGAGAGTATATTAGATTAGTGAAATTTGTCCAGTGACTTTCTTGGTTCCCTCTTATGCATATAATATCATTTCCTTAGTAAAGAATCCAGACAATAAATTAGGTGTGAGACGGAATTTCATCCACGAGACTGGCAGACAATAAATTAGGTGGCATCTTTTATTCAATTTTGGAAAAGAAACAAACAAAAATAATCTAAAAAGCACCTTGTAGCAAATAGCTCACGGTTTGAAGGAGAAATAGCAAGACTTCTCATTCTTTTCGTGTGGCAACTTGGTAGCATACCTACAGTACGACCTTCAATTGTGGGACGCAAAGAGCTTCTACCTATAAGTGCTATCAACTCATCATGTCCTCGGAATTCTGAAAAAAACAAAAAAAAAAACAATAGATTCAGACACAAAGAGAAGGAAAGATGTGGCAAATCAACCAAAAGAATGGCTTTTACCAGCATTTTCCTGTTGTCCTTGTTGGGATAAGTTAGAAGAAACTCTGATCCTCGGCTTTGCAAAATCCTTATTAGTGTGGTTATCTCGAACTTGAGCTTGAGTTTCCCACACCACTTCATTAGGAATACTATGAGATCTCTTGGCCTCAAGACCACTTTTGTCTTCCTTTGGGGCATTATAATCCCTTGTATCCATGGGTTGAGCTACGTTATCGCGACCTTGGGATTCCCTTATCACTTCATTAGGAATACTATGAGAACTCTTGGCCTCAGGGACATTTTTGTCTTCTTTTGGAACGTTATAATCCATCGTAGCCATGGGTTGAGCTTCCTTATCTCGACCTTGGGTTTCCCTTACTACTTCATCAGGAATACTACGAGGTCTCTTGGCCTCAGGGCCGCTTGTGTCTTCCTTTGGGACGTTATAATCCCTTGTAGCCATGGGTCGAGCTTGGGTGGTCTCATTTACTTCTGCTCTGACGGGAGCAGAAGCTCTTCGTTTGAAAGAAGGGGGTAAGATAATGGATGGCATTTTCAAGGATTCCATCTCACTACGTGATTGTAGAGTAGAGTTTTCATTGGCAGTCTTGGCCTTATTTCCCTCGGTCCAGAACTCTGCTATACCAAGAATACTTCCAGTTTTACCAGGCACTTTAGGTTTTGACATAGAAAAGGTACCATTTTCAACACGATCAATTTTTAAAAATTTTGCCTCCGCATCTGCCATCAGTTTTCTCTCTTCAGCAAGCTGTAGATACATCAGAAAATTTTAAGAAGACCAAACAGTAAATATCTCTCTTGTACATTCTAAGGGAAGAAAATACGCAGAACATCAGAAAACAAAAGCTGGAAACTTTTGAGTTTGGCTTAGGTGCCCTTTAAATTATCCAGCAAGAAGATGACATCTTCATATTAAATACGAATCGAATGAGAAAAGCTCAATAACTATGTTGAAACTGAACTCCAATTGAAACAATGACAGAAAATCAAAACGGGAAGATCCTAAAAGATGTGAATCAACAATATTTTTAAAGAAATGCAAATGCCCAAATCAACAAAACTAATGCAAACTCTACAATAAGCTGCATCGAATCTGAAAACTGCAAGTAGAGATTGAATGATGCACAACGGACAAATTGATCAAAAGAAACTTATGAAATCAAACCTAGACATTTAAATACTGTAGAGGCGATTGAACAAGAAAAGCTGCACAATTTGCATAAAATTGTACTCCAACTGAAACAAGAAGAGTAAATAAAAAAAAAGGGAAAAACGCAGTAGCCGAATTAGCAGGTAACAACAATTGGTCAAAGCAAAGAAGAAAGAAGAGACCTTCCTGTCGAAGCTTGAAATCTGGTCTTTAAGGCGTTGAATTGATTTAGCACGCTGGTCCATGAACTCTAACAGAGCTTCTCTATCATCTGGGATTTGAGTCGAGAACATTCTCGCTTCTGCTTCTACTTCTTCCCCTTGTTCAATTTTAGGTTTGTTCATCGCCGTCGTAGCCATTGCAGTCTCCGTTCGTCTTCCTCCCCAGCCTTTTATTCCCGCCCGATCGTGCGTAGTGGGGATTGATTTTTCCCTCTCGTTGTTTCAATTTTGGAACCACATTTTTTCACTTTTCCTGTTTTGCCGCTTCACTTACTAGGTCTTTCGTACTCGTGTGCAGCTCCGTGCTTCTTAACGGAACCAGACAGTGTAAACACGGATTCGCCAAAATTCTTTATTATGAGTCCTCCTCTTTGAGAACTTAAACCGTCAAAATTAAATATCATTTCGCCATACACAAAAAAAAAAAAAAAAACCCCTCAAATTCGTCAAACTAAAGTAAAAAATAAAAACAAAAAAATCCTTAAGTTTATTCGAGATTAGAAGTCTTTGATTTGACGGACGTTAAGCTCGGTGATACATCATCCGTTAAGACAAATTCGTTAACACAACAACATTTGTAGCTGTGATAATTGTATACAAAGATACATAGAGGAGACTGTGTTCTATGAACTTAAAGACTCATCTCAGCATACAACAAATTAACAATTTGAGAAATAAAATCAAATTGTATACCAAATTTTGGCTTGAAAAGGGTGAAGAAAACAGTCTGGTCAAGAAAACAGACTGCTAGCTTTTAGTATTCAGAAAATGTACACTGAAGCAATGGAAGTCAGAAAAGATGTCAATAGTATGGAAACAAAGTTCACACCATTGTTGTCAAGAATGTCTACACCTGAAATCTTCTTTACCGTCGGCCCGGGTTTCCCTACAACCTGCACGACGCATTTTCCAGTCATATACTCTTCTCTCTCCGCCTATTTTACATGTGTTCTTTTAAACTTACCTTGTTCCGGACAGAACAGAACCCACTGAATTGGATGGTTGCTCCTAGCACAGAATCAATAAGACTCCCACATAATCCAGCTAATGCAGAGACTGGAATGACTAAGAGTTGCTTTAGAGCCACATCACTTGCACAACTCGCGGTAAAGAATCCAAAGATAAGGAACGTTACTCCAACAGTGGTGCCGGCTGCCAAGGCAGCTAAGAGTCCTGCATTTGTAACTCCACCATTTGTGCCCTTCTTCACCGGCTGAGTGTGCGACCACACGATTAGCTAAACAGGAAATACTAATTAGCGACTTGCAAAAAAAGGAACAGGAAAAAACCTTTAGCGTTGTGATTAGTCGAGGCTGGGCATCACTAAGAACCCCAAGCTCCGAGGACCAAGTGTCTCCATTACAGCACGCGTAATGACCGATGATCCCACCAATAAGAGCTGTTACAGTTTCCGACTGCTTCGAGTCCAAACACTTGTCCTGCCAACCCGTTAAAGTACAAGCAATTACAACTAGAACCGAAGCAATTCCACCATTGCAAAGCACTTGTACCCTGAAACAAGATATTTGAGGACAACCTTTGTTGGTCAAACAAATAACAACTTCTGAAAGTGAAACCATTTGATAATACGCCAAGGGAAATTAATAAGAGCTATTGGTATACTATAAAGAAACAATATCCTCAATGAAGTTCTAAATATCAACATCAACCGTAAATAACCAGGTAATCAATAATTATGGATCTTATATGTCCTATTAAACATCAAGAAGAGAGACTATGATTTACCAAGGAAAAGAAAGTATCTTTGTTTACAAAACAGTCTAGTATAGGTGGTTCAACGAAGGTTGAGAGGATGATTTCCACATCTAAATAATTTCATGTCACCAACATGATGTTGAAAGTAAGGCGAAATGCTATTTCACTATAGACTCCCAAAGATCTCGAGTTGATTCCCTTTCCTTGATCGAAGATATTTTCTCCGAGAGGACTCCAGGAACGTTCAAGAAATATATGTATCTTTATCCTAAACTTCATACACAGAGATATTCAAATAGCTCACTTTCACATAAGAGTTAGCTCGAAAGATTGATGAGACAGACGAAACAATAACCGTAAATCCACGCTAATTGAAGAGTAGAGAAGTCATTCTCCTAAAGTAAGATTGAGTACTGTGATTTCAATGTGAGAAAAAAAAAATCACTAATTGAGGATCTAAAACTATAAGCTGATATACTTTATGCATCTGGATTTTGAAAAACCATGTCAATACAGAAAATGTACCAGTTCCTTTGTCCACCTTCTTTGAACTCAACATCAACGCGTCGTTTTTTATCTTCGCCAACTTTGGTAAGCTTCGAGGAAGTAAGAAAGAATACAAGCAGCAAAGCTCCGTACCTTTCAGATTCAACAGATTAATCCAATCAAACCCGTCGGGAAACGATTGAAATTTGAAAACTAAGGGAACTTCATAACAGAGAAAATCAAGAGCGGAAGAAGAGACCTGAAGCCGGCGGTGAAATGGATGGTCATAACAAGGAATCCAGCAATTCCACCGGAGAGATCGAGCGACTTCCTCTTGTACGATCGGAAAGCGATGAGAGAAGAAATGACGGCGGCGACGATAAGCCTAAACTGCGGCGACATTTCCATTTCTTCCAGTGGCGGAGAATCTGTTGACGACGAAGATTCAGTTCAGCGTCGGGAGAGGGTAGTTGACCCCCAACGTCATCACTGATTTCATGTATTTCAAGTGTTGGTTGGTTACATGTTAGTTACGCAGGCTCGAACCTGGTATCAAAACATGGGCCTCAAATGGGCTGACCCAATAGATTTGATAAAACAAATATTTAATCTAATCTAGACTAGATGTAGTCGTGGGCCAATTATTAGATTTTGGGAATGGGACAGACGAGATAACGCGGGAGACAATCCAATCACCGATCGAGATATGGGCCCCAGTAACGATTTCTACTATGACGTGGCACCACTTAAATCACTATATCCGTATTCCCTCTCTCTCTCTCTCTCTCTCTCTCTCTCCATTTCTATCTGAGCTTCTCTCTCTAGAGCAACAATGGCTGCGGCTGCTTCTTCTCTTACAATCGCGTCTTCCCTCTCTGAACCACGGACTCAGATCCATTCCTCGAAACGCTCGAATCTTCCTCTTCAATATTCAATCCCGTACAAGGCCGTAACACGGAGCAGGACTAGAAGATTAGGACTCGTCGTGAGTTCCGTTTCAGCTCCCAACGTTGAGCTCCGTACTGGACCTGATGATCTCATTTCTACCCTCCTCTCTAAGGTTTTGTATCCCCGAATCTATAAGCCGATCTTGAGGATCTGACTTTATTTGAACATTTCTACTCGTGTAATAGAAGAGTTTTTGATGAATATGGAGTGTGAACAGGTTGCGAATAGTGATGGAGGTGTGACTCTAAGCCCTGAGCAGCACAAGGAAGTGGCACAAGTGGCTGGAGAGCTTCAGAAGTACTGTGTCAAGGAGCCTGTTAAAAATCCTCTCATTTTCGGAGGTAATTAGTTTAAGAACCTAGCTGCCTGCTATTGCTTCTTTCTTGAATGAAAATGTTGAACTCGTGGATTCTGGTGCAGATTGGGAAGTGGTGTACTGTTCGAGACCAACCTCTCCTGGTGGAGGCTACAGAAGTGTGATAGGCCGTCTCTTCTTCAAAACGAAAGAGATGGTACAAGCCATCGATGCTCCTGATATCGTTAGGAACAAAGTTTCCATCAATGCTTTTGGTTTTCTTGACGGAGATGTCTCCTTGACAGGTGACTATTGCAAAATTCACATATGCATTCAGACTCATCTTTTCCCATGTTTAATCTTCGACTTTTTGTGTGATCTTATTTGTAGGGAAGTTGAAAGCCTTGGACAGTGAGTGGGTGCAGGTGATATTTGAGCCTCCGGAAATCAAGGTAGGATCTTTGGAGTTCAAATACGGGTTTGAAAGCGAAGTGAAGCTTCGGATCACATATGTTGATGAGAAACTTAGACTGGGATTAGGCTCTAAAGGATCATTGTTCGTCTTTAGGAGGCGTCAATAATATATATGTTTCTCCCTCGTGCATCAATCAATGCAATTCACTACACAAAAAAAGGAAACAACATATGGGGTCCTGTGAGAGTATGATGGTCAAAATCCACAATGCTGTGTACGCAAAGGGTGTTTTAGATAGAACTTTGTTGTAATGTAAACTTCATTTAAGAGTGTCTCACTTCAGATGAGTGGTTGAGGAAGGTACTGGTGAACTTCAACGTCTTTTCGCAAAGTACTACTATAGCCACAAAGAAAGATAAATGACTTAGCAGAGCCTCTATGTTCAAATTCAAAACCCCTCACGAAAATCTGAATCACCCTAAAACACCATGTACAGAATCAGAGCTGCCACACCTGTGAGGACCAAAGCATACATGAGTAATAATGCTTTAAAATATGCATAAAGATACATGTTACTCTAAAACATACATAACGATATACAGATGTAAATTATGAAGTTTTGTTTAATTACCACAAGCCTGGATGATTTCATTACAATCTACACACGTCCTCTTCCCCGCCTATGCCCTCGCCCTCTACCTCTTCCTCCTCTTCCTCCTCTTCCTCTTCCATGACCAAAGTTATCGTCTGGTCTTCCGTAATCAAACATATTCATTCTTATATCCGCTGCCCCGGTTCCGTGCACCTCCTGTTCCTATACAGAAAATTACAATCACAGTTCCCTCATTGTAACCATGTCTGTTTGAATGGTCCCAACAAATAAGTACTAAGCCATTGAAAGCCATAAATGGTGTGCCAATCAAAATAATGGTCTGGTTAATTAATTAAATGGCCAATTAAGCACACAGAAGACGGATCATAGATTCATAGGGATAATCAAGATTCAAGGTTGTTGTGACTCACATAAGATTCTTCCAGATCAAACTGATTCTGAAGCTGCCATGCAAGATCTTCATCGCGGGTAGTGTCGCTCGGATGGTCAGCTATTGGAAGAACTCCCCTGCCAGTATTCCTCTTTTCCCACTCATCTAGTGTAAATACTGCAGAGTCTTCTTCTTCTCTCCCCCTCCCTCTACCTCTACCTCTACCTCTACCTCTACCTCTTCTTCCTTGGTATTGCTGGTCATTTGAACTTGAATGTTTCATCTTCTCGAGAAGTATCTGCGCAGCCGCTTGGTTCTGTAAAGGAACAGCTTCCACCACTGCAACATGGGAGATGTTGTTTGGCCTTATATGGATGAACAATAGATATCTGATACCTCATCTCTAAGGTTTCAATGCAATTGCCAGATGAAAATGCCAAACTAATTTAACGCATCATAATGTTCTGCTGTGCAATGAGCTTTTGATCTAGAACGAGGAGGGAAAAAGATGATGGCAAACCTTGTTTAGGTCGTGTATCGGAACTGCTTGGCTTTTCCTGATTTTCGACTTTGACAGATATTTTTGGATCAGAATCTGCAGGATTCCTCTGTATATTCTTATATGTGCCTCTTTTGTTCCCATCAACTTCACTACTTTCACCTCTTTCTACACCAGCGTGTTTTACAGAGCTTTCTGCAGCAGTAGGTACAATGTTCCTAGAAGTCGTCCTGTTGTAATCTGTCAACCATCAAACATATGCTGACAAGTTAATTTTTCTGATGCATTGGCCAAACTTCCATCACAATACTTGATGTAAGCCCACATAAAGGATGAACAATTCAATAGAACATCATTTTACCACAATGGAAATGCATTCACTCAAGTTTAAGTATTGAAACAATGGAGATGCAACAGCGCCAAAGTTGGATACCAAGACAAAGGGAAAATATAGATCAGAACTCTACATGACTCGTCATTGGTTACATAACGGATACATTGGGATTTTGGAGCTCGGGTCAAATTACTAATATGTTTATGCTAAAGTGAATGTAGGTGGAGTAAGTCCTTGCAGCAGTCAGTGCATAGACAAAACATCTGTTACATATTTATTTGTTAGCAAAGATTCGTAGATATTTTACAACATGAAAAAACAAAAATGGTAGATGTTTTATGTGTTAGCAAAGATTGGCCAGCCGTTCCAAAGTGAACCAAATATGAAACAAACTAGTAGAAGAAAATTAAATGAAAATGAGGAGAATAAGAATATTTTTCTTACCCCGGTGATGGGAACCTGTTCGAATCTGCAACTCCTCAAATGGAGGAGGGCCAACACCAGCTTTGCTTTCCTGAGATCGAGCCAAATTAGCGTATTTTTTCTTCATCTGCCATTCTTCAGTGAGTGATTGCACATAACCGCCCAATACAGTCACCTCTTTCGGAGTCAAACATACTAAACCGTCACGTATCACAGCCTTATTTTCTAGACGGACCTGCCAATGAGACAGTACAAAATATCAACAATACAAAATGATTTAGGATTTCCATAAGACACCCTCTGATGCATGACAAACACATATGTGCTCTAGCTTCAATCCTAGAATAAATGAGCGAAAAACACAATATGAATCTGTCAATTAATTCCTATTGATTTAGATCTTAATCCAAACTACTATATATTAGCATGAGACTTCAAGAAACATAGAAGAGAAGAATTTGTATTAGCTTGATATGGAACTACCTTAGTACCAGGAGTTACATCATTGCTAATCGTTGGTATATGAGAGTACTCAAGCGCGGATATCTCGGTCTTGCCATCAGTCAGAGCGAATTTTAGCACTCGTTTACCAGTAGAACTTCCCAAAAATTCCTCTGCGCTACTTCTTGTAACATCCCTAACAGAACTTATCTATGTTCACAAAAGAAAACCACTGAAAACATATTAACACTAGGAATACTCAACAGCATGAATCAACTGCAACAAAATCGTGACTCATTGAATTAGCCAAAACCTAATAAAAAGAATGCAAATTGTTACTGTCTTTAGCTGATTGAAGCAATGTACCTGGAGAACTTTGGGGCCTTGAAGATGAGAACACCTGCGTAACTCGGTCGGGTCCGGGAGGGACTTACCTCCGATTAACTTAATATCCATGTTAAGCAGCTCCGCCTCCACTGACTCCACAACCGCGCCTGTTTGATTACCACCGCCGATCAGGGAGGAGATATCAGTGACCAGAGATTTCAAGTATTCGACGTCTCTGAAGCACCAGCCCCGGCTAGTTAGGGCATTTATCACGACGGTGTGGGTGTGGCCGGCGGCGGAGGAGCTTGATGTTCCCTCCATTGCGTCAATGCTCTTGTCGCGCTAAACCAATTGTGGGATGCGCCGCCAGAGAAGTACGAGATTTATATTTGGAGAATTGGTTTTAACTTTGTTATGGTCAATATCGGGTTAAACCAATAAGTTTCTAATGATTTCTCAAGTTAAAAAGAATTTCGCATTATAAAATGAACAAACCCTATTCGCTAATGATATTGTTTTGCATAAAAATTAGAAAGTTTAACTATTTGAATCTTTGATCAATAAACAGCAACACTTTTAACAACAAAAATGCAAAGTAATTCGAAAAAGTCCTATTAAAAGGTGTTTTCCGGTTTCGTTTAGTGGGCCTAATGGCCCATATGTAAATTTCGACAGTTATGACCTTCAATTTCTAAAATACCTGCTTCCTTGTTGAATTCCGACCAAAGTGTGTCGTTATGACGATTGACGATGGTAACTCCGTCTACGTCGGCGGCCTCCCTTACGACATCACCGAGGAGGCTGTCCGCCGTGTCTTCTCCATTTACGGCACTATTCTCACCGTTAAGGTCAATTTTCTCTTCCCGTTGTTTGCTCCAATATCCTAATTTAGGTTTCTTAATTAGGATGATTTAAATTCGTTTCAGGATTTGAAATTTCAATCTTATGGGATGATCTTAGAGATAAGGTTTAGTAGATATGAATATGTAGAAAGACTGACAAAGTGATTTTGATAACTTCCAATTCCTAGTTGATATCTCTACATGTGAGCTGATCAGAGTGTTTGTTATTTTTGGGAATATAGATTGTCAATGACCGAAGTGTAAGAGGGAAATGCTATGGCTTTGTTACGTTTTCAAACCGTCGATCGGCTGATGATGCTATCGAAGATATGGATGGAAAAGTATGGTTCTTGCTCTTTGTTTTTTTTCTTGGAATCGAAGAAAATTCTAGAGTTTTGCTGCTAAAGTTTTGTTATTTCTTTATATTATCATGAATATGGTGTATTTTATATTGTTGACGGTACTGAGCTCGTAATCAGAGTATTGGTGGGCGTGCCGTGCGTGTGAATGATGTGACAACAAGAGGTGGAAGAATGAATCCAGGTCCCGGGCGGTTACAACCACACGGTGGATGGGATAGAAGCCCCGATAGGAGAAGTAATGGCAATTATGACAGGGATCGGTATAGTGATAGGTCCCGAGAACGGGATAGGTCTCAGGATAGGAGAAAAGATCATCGCTACACAGAGAATGAAAGAGCTTATGAGCATTCACATGATTTTGAGAGGAGGAATGATCATGATTTGCTAGATAGAAATGGTTACAAGGAAAGAGTTTTCGAAGGTGATGAAGGAGATTGGCGTGGGGATAGGTCTTTTGGGGATAATGGTAGGGGAATCAATGGGACCAGTGCTCACGAAGGAAGGAGCCAAGAAACAAAGAGAGACGATAGGTAAACCTTTGTTGAAAATCATGTTGTTGTAGACTTCACATTAGATTTCAAACTCTTATTGTTCCTCCTGTTTCTTTGAACTGTGACATTCGTTTTTCTGTAATATTGATCTACTGGTTTGAATGAGTCAAGACTGGGATGCTAGTGTAGAGTATAGTCACGCCGCTAAACCAAATCACCCACACCTGTTGTGGTTAAGTCTGATAAATTATCGTCGACAGAAAAAATACAGAAGGTTTAGTGTAATGGATTTGAAGAAATAAAAAATACAGAAGGTTTAGTGTAATGGATTTGAAGAAATTTTCTGCTCTTGTTGGCTTTGTGCATGTTACCGTTTGAGGAATGTTTTGGCTTGCTTTGGTTTTGTTGAAATGTCTAAATCCTTGTGTGTTTTTATTGGATTGACAGTACCATTCTTGATGGTGGGCGTGGCAGAGATCACTTCTCTAATTCAAGTGGAGATCACAGTTTTCAGGTAAAGATGGTGTTTTGTTAGCCATGTAGTGTTTGCATAGTTCGTTTTAAAACTTGCTTCTTTTATACAGGTGAAAGAAGATCTGGAAGCGCTGATTAAGATGCGTGAGGCGCTTCAAGATGAGGTATGAGGTCGTTTATCTGTCCATATAGGCTGTTGGTAGATTTATATTACATAATCATGAGCAATCGGAAGATTTATGGGCTAGTTTCGAATTTAAGGTACTGGTGATGGAAGAGAGATTGGATGAGAAAGAAGTAGTGTGCTCAGAGCTACAAAAAAAGTCTAAGGTATTTGTCTTCTATATCTTACAAACCCGAAAGTTTTGACTATGGATTTGTTCTCATTTAAAATGGCAAGACAGAGATTAGAAGATTTGTTGATCAATGAAAAGAAATTGGTTGCACAACGCCGAAAAGAATTGGCAAAGGTAAGCATAGGTTCTGTTCCTGTTTTCAAACTTAGTTGTTGACTACGTTTGATAATTGCTCTATGTTTTTGGTAGCTACATGAATCATTTTCAAGGGTTAGAGAGTGCACGGACAACCTGAAAGACTGTCAACAAGAACTCCAGGTTAGTTTCTTAATTTCCACATTCTTGTGTTTGTCATTGCATCAAGATTAGGCCTAAGCGAAGCTAGTCTCTATCCTTTTCCCGCAGTCGCTTGTTAATTCAGCAGCTAGAGAAGGCGTGGCAGGTGCTGATGAAGGACTGGGACACGGGTATGCGTAACATGGTCACCCGCATGTATGATCTGTTCTGTCTAAAGTGTAGATTTGATATGCCTTCTCTTTGTGACTTCACTGAGTTTTTTTTCAAGTCGAGCTACACGAATTTGATACATATCTGCTTATGTTTTAGCAAATATGTATTCATTATGTATTATTATCATACGAACATGAACTAAATAATGTTTTCACGTGCTACTGAAACCAAACAATCACCATACAAAGTGTGGAAGTAAAGTCTGAAAGCTTTGTAAGAGAACAAGTCCTAGATATCTAATATTCAGTGTGGATTCTAAAACATAGATAATTAGAGTAATGGGATAATTATAAAATCATTCGAAAATGAAATGTCATTAGTTTAGTGGATGAAGTTGACAAAATATTTCTTTTGCAATGTTTGCTTTTTTCTGTACTAATATAAAGATGCTTGGCTATTGTTAAAATATTATAAAAAGAGAAAAAAAAAAACAGTTAAATTATTAAGGTTGAAACAGCCATCATCTCCGATCCACCGTCCATTACTCGTAAGCCGAAGGTTTTGCTCTTTTTTATTTGATGAAGATGTGAACATATATCCATTGACCTATCGTTGCTTGTAAAGCCAAGTTAGCCAACCCCATTTAAGATACTCTATATGTTTGTCTTCTCATCAATTTCATTATAGTAATAATAAGGCATGATCCATTATTCATAATATCCTTTCAGGCCATGATTCAATATTCATAATATCCTTCAAGGCATGATTCGTATATCTTATGGCAAACCAGTAGCAGTAAATTACTGCCAGTAATTGCATAAGCAAATGTGAATTCTTCATGTTGCAAGGCTCTAGTGGAATTCCACGTTTCTCCTTGTTCTCTTGGTGATGTCAAAATCGACATGGATACTTATGATTATTGAAAGAGTATTTAGGTCCCTTCATTAAGGGAAAATGTAAGTTTTAGGAATCATAAAGTTTATATGTGCTACAATAAGGTAACTATACTTCATAGAAATAGAAGAAGAAGAAAAAGAATTGTTTTGGGTCAATCAAGTTGATATAGGCATGTGCATGATACAAGTGATTTAGTAGGTCATGTTCATGCCCATAACTACTTTACTGTATTTTTCACTTAACCTCAAGTAAGAAAATGGTATATGAAAACTTCATTTAGACAAAATCTACTTTTCTTTGACCTAACAAGTGAACTTAAAATGTTTTTATATTTCCACCACAAATTTATATTTTGATATATCGCTAGCTCTTCTATATATATAACCTACAACATTGAAGTTGATCCTATCAACTCAAAAACACCCCCCAAAAGATACTAAGAAATGGAAAAAAGCCAAAGATGTAACAAAGACACAAACACTAACATTGGCTTTTGCCTTCTTCCTTCTGAACTCATACAAAACATTTTATTCCATCTTTGTATACCTGAGATCATCCGAATGAAACTACTCAATAAGTACGTTTTAACAACTATCTCTGACCGGAGTTTCATCCGAGAACTCAACGATGGATCACAGAGAGACACGTGGATTTTCGTCTACACCAGGCGTTGGCGCCGTGACAACGGTGTGCTTCACGGATTCTCGGACCGATCCGTACGGTGGTTCAAGATTCCGGTGGCTGAAATTCTCGCCGGGGAGATTCGTCCCGGCGAAGATTTATATTTACTAACAGCTAGCGGTAACTTCCTTCTATTTGCCTCTAATACTCATAGTGGAATCATAGCCGTTGATTTGGTGGGCAAGATCGTTACAAGAATCAGCTCATGTCCGTTAGGTCCACGTGGAACTTCGTCTTGGAGACGATCCGGTATGAAGCTAGTGCCTGATCCATCAAGTCCTAGTCATTTCCGGTTTATGTTCGCTGAGATGGTCAATAACCGACCGGTTCTGTTTACTTATCATTCTAACACAGCCACGTGGCATACTAAAGAAGCAGAGGATACAACAAATTGGGTTTATAAGGAAAATAGCAATGTATTATTCTTAAGCTTATCAAATCGACCTCACGAGAGTACTGTGATGAGCGTTGACGATGATGGTTCGATGATAAACCGGTTTCCGGCGATTTTGCGGCCGAGGATAAACCAAGACGCGATCAGACAATGCCCGTCGAGTGTCGGATTCAGCAGGAACGACCTAGAGAGTCAATTGTTGCATATACATGGAGATGAATATAAAGTGGTGATTAGGTTAGACACAGTAGATAATTCAAAGATGAAGAAAATGATGAAGAGGTTAGAGGTTTGGGAAATAAGCTCAAATGGTGAGAAATGGGAGTTAGTGTCAAGAGCACCAAGTGAAGTGATCAGCAACAAGCCTTGTGGTGTGATGATGGGATGCTTAGAGAGGAGAGTAGGGGTGATTAGAGTGGCTCTAATGACGAATCATGAAGGTTTATGGAATATAATTTGGTTGGATTATGACAAGCAGAAGGATAAGTGGGAGTGGGTTCCACTACCTGATTGTAGATTCTTGCAAGGCTCAAATATGGCCGGGATTAGTTTCTCCTCTGGCCTCACCTTCTCTTTGTAAAGTTTTAATATTTAAATGTCGGTATCAATCATACGACCATACATATATATATATATATATATATATATTTTTTTTGGTTATATGATTGTAGGGATTAATAAATGAATTTCACGGGGGACACTGTCATGACTCATGCTTGATTATTTAAGTCAACCACGGATGGAAACTCTAGAAAAATAATTGAATCACGGGCTTAGAAGAAGACAAGTGGGAATATAATTGGAAATATATATAAAATATGTTATATTCCAGTGGATGTATTTTTTTCCCGGGGTATGGATCAACCGGTAGAATCATACCCAAAATATAAACCTCAAAATTAGATCTTTTTAGCTAAAACTAAGAATGTTCTGATGATTATACCAATGTCATTCTATAAATGTAATAGATACTAAACAAAAAAAAACTCAAAAGAAACAGACAAAATATGTGAACCAGCGACCAGGGTTGTCGTGCACAAAGATGGAGATCCAGTCAGCTTGCGTCCAACACACGACCACAACCTTTCTTTTAGTAAAGAGTACGCTGGCCACGTGGATCTGAAGCACATTGCTCTTGCGTGTAAGACACTATCATAGGTTTGCACTGATAAGTGCACAAACTTATGCGAAGTGCACGCAGCCTATAGGTCAAAGTGTAAATATGATATGATAAAAAATAAAAAATGAAGTATAAAAAACATACTAATTCGCCTTAAAGCTAGCTTGATAGGAGAGGATGCTCTTTGAACTTATAAGCCATTTGTTATTCCTTATGATTTCTGATGTGAGATAGCAAAAAGGATGGCCAATTTAAGAGAGTCGCATCATTTCGACCCCTTCAGAACAATTCGTAATAAAAGGTTGCAGAGATCTTCCGCTGATCGATCATACAATCCGGTCACTCGATCACTAAGCATTTCAGGTTCTACGGTGCTTTCATAGCTTAAAAGTCAATGAAAAGGTTGCAATTATAAAATGCCGTGACACATTCAAATGGCAAATGCTCTAAATCAAACAAAAATCAATATATACCTGACTCACCTGTCTCGACAGTTATGTTTCAACTGAATGGATTTAGTAAGCTGAGAAAATTGTCGAAAAGTTGAACGCATGAGACTCCAACTACTAATAGGAAGGCAGAACAATCCATTCCTGTTACTGTTCTTTCACATTTGCATAAGAACAAAACAAAAACACAACAACATCTTTTGGGCATCACTAAAATCTTGTAAAACAGGAAACAGAAACTGATTTTGTATAAATGGATATGAGGATAAGGGGAAAACAGGGTTTACAAAATGTATTACTATAAGAGGCCAGAAACCAGAAAAGATGTTCACTTTTACTAGAAACCTCTTTAAATGTAAAAAAAAAGGCTAAGATATTCAAAATCCGAAATCAATTGCTACACACCTGAAACAGGCTGCAAAACAATGACACTTGCTCTTATACAACAGAAGCTAGTTTTCCCGGATTCAACGGCAACAACTCTTCATCTTCCTCGCCCTTCTCGCTGTCTTTCTCGCTGACCTTCTCGATGGGTTTATCCAGTTTGACAGACTGCTGATAACCAACTCCTCCACATATAGTAAAAAGTAGACAAACCAAGCCAACGGGAGTGGCATGCTTATCCCAAATCAAAACATTGATGACAACAGTCAAGAACTTGTTAACAACACCAGTCACAGTAAAAGCAGTAGCAGAGATAGCATTCCTAGCAGCAAATCCAAAGTAGCTGATAAGGAAACCAAACACACACGACGCAGCCACAGCGGAAAACGCATAAGGCTCAAACAAATTCCCTCGATTCTCACCCAACGCAGCGAAAACCTCGGTGTATTCACCAGTAAGAAACCAGAATATCGGTGCTATCATCAGAGACAAGAGATTATTGTAGAGAACCAATCCCCAAATGTTCAATTTAATACTTGACACCATATGCTTAATGTAAACCATTTCAGTAGTAATGGTAACAAGATAAGCCAAAGCCCAGGAATAAGCCGTGAGAGTAAAAGACGAGTCAGTTGCAACATACCCAACAGCACCAGCGAGGATGACGAATAAGGACAAAAACGTAAGCCTTGAAGGTAAAGGCTGGCTACGAAACACAGTATCAGCGATCGCGACTAAGAGCGGCGTGAGAGATCGGAAGACAATGAAAGTATCGACATTAGCGTGACGGAGGAGGTTTGTGTTTGTGAAGATGGCGAGGTAGAAGACGATAGCTGCAGGGAGGAATTTCTTAGCAGTGTCCCATGTGAATGGATCGTGATTGATAAGCCCTGATTTGCCGAGAAGCCAGACGGCGACGGTGCACGTTAGGTATTGGAGAGCTGTGAGAAGACCTGGGTAGTTGAAGTATGTGATTGCTAATTTGTTGATGACGGCGAGGAGGCTTGAGCAGAGTGCGTACCCGATTACGAGACTGCTTGTTGTTAATTGTTTGCTTGAATCGAATCGAGAGGACGACATTGTTTGGGGAAGTTTTATGGAATCCAGATCGGAGAAGATGAAGAAGACGATTTGGGATCTGGATCGGATTCAGAGACTAATTAGAGGAAGGCGACGACTTCTCTCATCAGTGTCTTATCGTACGGGACAATTTTTTGCCTGTAATCTTCTTTTTAGTCACTTTGCGTTTAATTGTCGTGTTAATTTTGGTCAAATCACCATTAATGGAAGAAAATTAAACAATTTGATTTTTGTGTATGTAGAGATTTTTTGTTTGTTTGCGGAGAAATTTTGTATTTGGACATAACCTAGTCAATGCAATAATTAGGCAAATAATTGAGATTGCATTTAGTCATTGTTGAGATTCACTCTCTTTCTCTTTATTTTTCTTCACAATTTTTAGCTTTTCTTCTAATTTCTGTTTGATTATATATATCTCTCTTCCTAAAAAGTAAATCATCTCATATAATTAAAAAGTTTCTTGATATGTTGAATTTTAAAATAACCACAAATTATTTGACCAAATAGTAATTTTTTATAAATAAAACGTAAATAACATTGTGAATTATATTTTAAAGAAAATGGTCGGTTTATCGAATATGAAAATGTTACCAATTCACTTCATTTGTCAATTCAAGTCCATTAAAACCCCCAATTCAATAACACCCCTTTAGTAACAAGGTTCGACAATCACCGGCCAAAAATTCATAACGTTGCAAATTTTAGCGTTAAAACTAGTATAAGATTTACGATATGTGCTAAACCAACACTTAAATAGACACAATAAATCCAAAATTTGAGTTACTGGGTAATGTTGAAACATGTTGTTGAACCATCAGGCATCAACTACCATAAAATGTTTTTCAAATCTTTTATCTAGTAATTAAAAATGTTTATGATGTGTATTATTAAGTAAAGGTTTTTTTTTTGTCGTCATATTAAGTAAAGGTTTAACGAACCTAAACACACAAAAAAAGTTATTATTCGGAGTGTTTCAAACTTTCAATTATCTGACTCGACGACTCTCTTCTTACCAATTCCAACGGCTTGACAAGCAGAACTTGTTATCTCTAAAATGGTTCCAACGGCTTAAATGGAGCTTAGCCACCAAAAGCACCAGGCCACCAAAAGCACCAGGCCCACCAGTTAGACGAAGCCTTTGAGAAAAACGTAGACTCGAGGTCAGACTCTAAATGAACTAGAAGGTTACGACACAAAAAAAGAATATTTCTATTGTTGAGTTAATTTCCTTTTTATCCTTTTTATTCATTTAGGTGAAATAATAATGCTTTGCGTGAGGGTTTCTGAGATTCTGATCGAAGAAAATTAATCTCTCTCTCCTTCTTCTTCTTCTTCTTCTTACTAGAGATCTCTGTCTTGGATAATTTGCTGCTATCACTGAGAAAATGGCAGCCGTAGAAGTTGATTCGAGGCGTCCTGAGACAGCGATGGAAGAAACCTGTAACGTGAAAGGAGCGGCGGCGAAACAAGGGGAAGGGCTTAAGCAGTACTATCTCCAGCACATCCATGAGCTCCAGCGCCAGCTCCGTCAGAAGACTAATAACCTCAATCGCCTTGAAGCTCAGAGGAATGAACTCAATTCCAGAGGTCTCTTCTTCCTTCTTTAACCCTAATTTCTCTGCAAAATTGGATCTTTTGATCATCCTCTTGTGTTTAGTAATCTCAGATCATGTACTAGGGTTTTCGATTTCGTTCTCCTTGGAGCTGAGTGCTTTCAAATTTCAAAATTGATGTGGTGATTGTCATAGGGATTGAGGGTTTCAAATCTCGACGTGATTGGGTGATGAAGTTGTGTTTTTTTGAGCCTTGATTTTTAGCAACATTAACTTACCTTGTTTAGATTTCTTGATTCTGTCTTATTGTTGATTCATTAGCAAAGTATGTGAGCTATCAACTGCAAAAAGAGTTGTTTTATGCGAATGTTTATATGGAAAGTGCATAGCTTTTTTCAGGAAATCCTAGTTCTTTCTTCACTCTCTTAATTGAGTAATATATACTCATGGAAGGAGTTCATATAAAGAGTCATTTCCACCAATCCATGATTTTTAAAGTTATAGAACAGCCTCTGTTGTCATCATATTTATGCTTGAACGTTTTCTAACTAGTCTTTATAATTTGTAGTTAATTCTGAATCTCAAACCTCTATGACACTGTAATTCTTTCTAAATTGAACAGTAAGAATGCTCAGAGAAGAGTTGCAGCTGCTTCAAGAACCTGGGTCCTATGTGGGTGAAGTGGTAAAAGTGATGGGAAAAAACAAGGTCTTGGTTAAGGTATGAATCTTTTTATTATATTTTTTAGGATTAACCTGGCTTTATATTTCTCGGAACATAGTTGTCAATAACGCTTACACTCCCATTTTCCAGGTTCATCCAGAGGGGAAGTATGTTGTTGATATTGACAAAAGTATAGATATAACAAAAATCACTCCATCAACGAGAGTTGCTCTTCGTAATGATAGCTATGTTCTCCACCTGGTCTTGCCAAGTAAAGTAGATCCGCTGGTTAACCTTATGAAAGTTGAAAAGGTTCCAGACTCCACATATGACATGATTGGTGGTCTTGACCAGCAAATTAAGGAAATAAAGGAGGTATGCCTAGTGAAAGAAAAAACAAAACTAAATGTCACTTTTTTATCGGCTATCCCCTCTGTTGTTCCATCCTTTT